CACCTTACGATAATCGTACGATCGCGGGATTTCCCGCGATTATCGTACGATTATCGTAAGGTGTGTGGGGACCTTAAAGCAATGGGCTGGCTTCCTAATAAGGCCGCTCTCAGCCACCTGATCAGCTCAACCTGGCAACTGGCAACACCTGGCCCCAGGACTGGAGATCCCGTCCCACTATAGTCTGGAAAACCTGGAAGGATTTGAACAGCCAGTTCCTCCTCTCCAAAGGTATTCACATTGTGGAACCTCTCAGCCCCTCTGGCTGAGAGTCCTGGGCGCCAAAGTTGCCATACTACACCGTGGCATTGCCATGCACTGCCACAGTACTTTCAGCAAAAAAGGTGTCCTTCCCTTACATCTCAGAAAGTTGGGAGGTATGCTTCCACACAGGGGATAAGGATCTTTATTGTAGCCATGTGACAGTTGATATCAATGAAATAACGGCCGAAATGAAGAAAATAAGCTTTGTGAATTGACCCCAATGTAGGATGTAGTCAACATAATCCCATCTCACTCCATGCTGGAATGGGCCCTGAGTTTTTTCCAGGGTGCTGTAACAACTCCAGACTGGTATCAGCATAGACTATGGATGAGATATGTCACCAGCACACCCACAGGCCTGTTGCAAAGTCCAAAGCTTTTAACTGAAAAATCACATAGAAGTGCAATGTGTCAAGGCCACGCAGGGCCCCTTCACTCAGGCACATGATGCAAATTATAACACCCCTACTTTTTCGCCTCTGCTCGTTCACATCTGTGCATTGTGGTGCTCTAAAACCCATCGACATTGTGATACACAGGCAAGGTGTGTTGGGACATCGTTCAAAATGAAGAGCACCCCAATGCACCACAAAATAAATGCCACTGAGTCACACCTTGTATTGTGCGTTACCCTTCATTGAGGTGACACGCAGCTAAACCTCCGTTATCGCAATGGATAGTTACGAATTTGGTCTTAGTGGTTGGAGAATCGGTTCCCTTAAAGCAGTGATTCTCAACCCATGTAACCTCAAGACCCACATGTTGTCCTCGCTCATTAAGTCGTGACCCAAGTTGCACTGCAATGGAACGCAGTGTGGGCTGCTGTGCTGGGACTGAGCTCCATCCATATGTGCATCCACTTGTACAGCTTGCTTGCACGCCCTGTGGAGGTGCCAGGAGCCAGAATGTGATGTCACTCCAGCCCAGGCACCTCTACAGGGTACGCAAGTGAGCTGTAAGCAATGCAATGCAAGTATGGATGGAGCTCCCTCGCAGCCATACCCCCAGCCCACCTCAAGCTGACACTCCGGCGCCGAGCAGCATACATTGAATGGCTGCTTGGCACGAGAACTGACAGTGCTGCGCTAGGGGGAGGCTGAGGAACCTCTCACCTAGAAAAGTGGAAGACACACGGGGACCCACTGAACACGGGGCCACCAGTTGAGAACCAAGGCCTTAAAGTATAAGGTTTCCAAACAATAAACATATCAGAAGCTCCCAAATTCAGCGATCTGTTACACTTTTATTTCACTGTTATTTTAGGTCACATGACAGCCGGTCCCTTACTAGCACATGTTCCCGTCCAGGCAGTGGACAGGCTCTTAGGAAGCTCCTGCGCCAGCTTTCTCCAACACTGGATTACATCTAACCCGGGAGGAAAGGAGAAGCAGTAGGCCACACATGTATTGTTAATGGACGCATTGATGATGTCATCATTTAGATGAATGGGAAGGGAAAGATCTGAGGGCCAGCAACATTGCAAATTCAGCAGCGGGGCCATGGTGTTGTCAGCCGAGCACAGGAAATGATGCCACAACAGGAGGACTGGCAGGATCAATAAGGAAATGAAGAGGACATTAAAGATAGCATATTTAAGATGATAATGGTAAAGGATTATTGTTTGTTTAAGGAAAGGTTGTGTTTTGCCTGGAGTTCCACTTTAAAGATAACTCCAGGCTCCTCCCACAGATGTGTGTGTGTGTCCCATTCTCTCCTGAAACTTAATCCTCCTGTCCCATCGCACTCCTGACCGGACAAAAACCCAAATCCAACTGGGTGGGTAGATAGATTAAAGTAGTCACTCGCACTCCATGATATTAAAGTCAATGCTGTTTATTGACTGAGATAACACACATCTCCTTAGCGACGTTTCGAGACCATGCGGTCCCGTCCTCCCGTCCTCTCTCCTGAGGCTCCTCCACAATTTATGTTTTTTTCTTTGAGTATACCAATTTTTTTCCAGTGCCTTCTGGCCGGTCATGTGACATGCGGGCTCCTGTACTCTCCCGGTCTTCCCCAGTGGTGGCTGGTCCTCAGAAATGTAATCATATCAGTGCTACTCTGTATGGATACACTGTGAAGCCGGGCATCATGCAAACCAGAAGACTGAGGACATCTGGTGGCGAAAAAAGAGTACTACAGGGAAAACGGGGGATTGAAGATGAGTACTGAGGCCTGAGCTGGTGTTCTTTTTTTTAATTTCCAGACAAATCTGGGTGAAATCGGAAATGGATACCGGAGATATCAGCTATCAGTAAATGATCCCTGCTCCAAAGACATCCTCTTCTTATTGCTTTCACTTACAGTATTGCTGATGAATAATTAAAGTGTATCTCAAGGCAAACCCTTTTAGTTTTGCATAGATTTAGGAAGGGTTAGACTTTTTTTGCAGTCTGAGTCCCCATTGGGCACATTCACTCCTCTTTTTTGTACTGGTGACCATTGTACTATAAAAAGACATATAATGGGAAATCCAACATTTTTGTGTTGTCCCCAGGACATGAGCTGAGTGGAATTCTTCCATTGGGGACACCTGCCTAGGAGGTTGAATTACCCTCACTTTGGTAGATTTGCTCTAACTTCCTGGTGTGTCCCTGGTTCAGGAAGTGAATGGAAATTTCCCAAATGGTACCCAGAGTAGGGATGTTAACCTATTTATCCAAAACTTTAAAAAAATAAGTTTGGGGTTCTGTAACGAGCCCCTGCTCGCTCGGTTAACTGTAACAGTTCAATGTCCAGAATCATCCCCCTTCAGTGCTCCTGGAGTCACAGCCTGTACCTATAATACACACAGGGCCATCCAAATGTAATGCCAGGGAACATGTACAGTACATCCCTCCACACATAAACCTGGTAGAATGGTCCATTGTAACCCCAAGAGGTCCGAGGGGGTCCAAGAGGTCCGAGGGGGGTCTCCATAGTTCTGGGTCCATAGTCAGTTGGAAGGAGGCTAGCCCCCAGGCTCCTCCAACAGCACCAGTGACGGTTCAGTCCGTCACAGGTTCACATACACTTCAATGTTATTATACAGTCAATAGCAGTGTAGGGATCTTTAAGGACCATTGGTATGGTGAATTATGGACAGTTTATTAATTTTGGAGGAACATAGTGCAGAGTGATTGTTCTGCTTTGAATGGAACTCTTCCCATCCTGACCTTTTTGTGCGTTATGGGTCAGACAAAGGTGGTTTAGAGTCTTGGAAGTGTGTTCTTCGTACAGAATGGTTAGTCATTGAACACTTGTAGGTCACCTTTCACTCCCGATCCCACCCTCAGTGTGCAACTGCTCTTTTTACATAGTCGTTCTTTTTTACATAGTATTTGAGGTTGAATAAAGACACAAGTCCATCAAGTCCAACCTATTGCATGCATGTATATGGTTCTGCTGATGTGTGCGTATGTATAGGTCTCGTTCTTAAGTGTACCTGTACCCCTGTATATCACGGTCCCTAAGGAAATTGTCCAAAAGCTTCTTGAACGATTCCACACTATCAGCTGAAATCACGGCATGTGGCAGCGAGTTCCAGACCCTAACCGCCCCAACTGAGAAGGACCTCCTGCGCCCCTTGTGCTGAAATTTTTCTCCACCAATTTTAGGTGGTGGCCTCTCATCCTTGTCATGGAGTTAATTGTAAAAAGTTTATTGCTGATGTTGCTATCACCATTGAACATTTTGTACATGAAAATCATATCTCCCCCTTAATCTCCTCACTTCCAGCGTGAACATGTTTAGATTTAGTAGCCTCGTCTCATAGCTCTGGTCCTCCATCCCCTTAATAAGTTTGGTTGCCTTCCTCTGGACTCTCTCCAGTTCCAGGACACCCTTTCTGTGGACTGGTGCCCAAAACTGGACCGCGTACTCCAGATGAGGCCGAACCAGTGATCTATATAGTGGCAGAATTATAGACTTGTCCCTGCAAAACATTCCCCTCTTAATACAGGACAGGACCCTGCTAGCTTTGCTTACAGCAGCCTGGCACTGCAAGCTATTTATCAACCTGCGATCTACAATGACCCCCAAATCTTTTTCCATTTCTGACTTCCCTAGTGGAGTTCCCATTAATGTGTATTCTACTTGCCTATTTTTAACCCCAAAGTGCATTACTATACATTTATCGACATTAAACCTCATCTGCCTTATAGGTGCCCCTCCCCCTATTTTATCCAGGTCCTCCTGTAATGTTATAATGCCTATGTCCATTTCTTTTACCCTCCTGATTTTGGTATCATCAGCAAACACTGAAACATGGCTATTCACACCCTCCCCAATGTCGTTAATAAACAGGTTGCTCCTTCACCAACCAATCAATCAATCAGCAGTCTGGGGGAGTTGTGACTAGTATAACCACTGAAACCATTAGCATGCATGTACTCCATATAGAAATATATGTGATTCTAGGTCAACTTTATCCTTTTATTTGTAATTCTGGGTTCACAGGTCAGTGTGGAACCATAAGGACAAATATACAATTCTAGTCCAGACATAAGTACAAACCAGCTGCTATAGCAAAATGGAAAATGTAATCCTAAAACTATCTTTCTATTGAAATTGGGTTGGTTGCTAAAATAACAACACCTTGCCATTGCTGGTTCCTCCACCATGGTGGAGAAGCTGTACGGTGCTGACTGAGAAGAGCATTTTTGAGCAGCAATTGACATCATAGTAGGTATCTGCTGCTTTTTTCAGTATGGTTAGGATATGTTTTTTCTTCTTCTGATGGTGACGATGGTTTCTGGTTATTGGTAAGTCAGCAGAAAGCCAACTAGTACCAGGAGCATCCAGGGGTGGAATGAAAGGTTAGCAGCCCCATCAATGACCATGCCATCTGTGAAGTATTCTCCACATGTCTTTGTTGGTGGAGGGATATCTGGCACATCATTGAACGCTACTTGCAGGTGAGTGCTGATCCAGTCTTGATAGGCTGTGACAAGGGTGTATACCCCAGGGCGGTAATAGTAGGCGCAGCCTTCTCCCCAGCTTACAACCCCAATCTGGTACCAAGCATCCTGGACTTTACACACCAGAGGTCCTCCTGAGTCACCCTGGAAGACATCAACAGGCAGCAGTTATTATAAACAGTCTATCTATCTATCTATCTATTTTCCAGCAGTGACTTAGCAATTCAGTAAACTCTGCTCCCCCTCTTCTCCAAGCAGCAATTCAGCAGCGCAGCTCAACCAGCTTTCCCCTTGTAGCAGTAACTCAGCAGCCCAGTTCCTCTTCCACCCCTCCACCCCAGCAGTGACTGAGCAGCTCAGCATCCCCTGATCTCCCTTTCAACAGTGACTCTGCAGCTCACCTTGTCCCATCTCCTAACAGTGACCCTGCAGCTCAGCTCATCTCCCAGCAGTGACCCATAAGCACAAATCACCCCGCTCCTGTCCCCAGCAGGGGCTCAGCAGCTTAGCTCCTTCTGCTCCGTCCTCCCAGCAGTGATTTATTGCGCTGTAGCCAATGCGCTCAGTTACACAATGTGATAACTCATGACTGTAAATATGGAGCTTACCTGGCAGGAATCCTTCAGTCCATTTATATAGCCAGCACATAGCTTGTCATCCTGGATAATTACGGTACTAGAACTTTCAGAGGACCACTTGTGGTACATCAGGTCACATGTCTTTGAATCAATTAGGGGAACCATGACTTTCTGAAGGGTGCCATTAGCAGGATGTGGCCCTTGTGAGAAACCATGGAAACAAGATCATTATACAAAGATATATAAAGAATACTTTACTGTATCTTGTGCAGGAAAATAGAGAAATGTCATCTACTAAAATCAAGGTTAGTCCATTAGTATGATTAGTTTTATCTCTCCCACCAGC